AAAATAGTGAAAACCCCCACAATATTCTCTATCAGTAAGAACAGCCCTAAAGTATATATACAGGTTTAGTTCTCATACAGTAGCATTTGTCAAGTGGAAATATTCTCCCTTCCCCACGTCACTCCCACTTGTATCTCATCCCCACATCAAGGAGGATTCAAAATTGGAGAGACATAATCTGACTTGGTAATGCGTATTTCTCCGCTAGATGGCATTAATACAATTTCTTTGATTGTAGTTTCTATCTTGAGGACAAATTTACAATGTATTAACTAAAGTAGAAGAAACAGAAATGTGATTATGTTTTACAATTTGTTCATCTGATTTTATGTTTTGTCATATAGAATGTCCTATGGTGTTTAAGAATTTAGAAAAAAATTGGGATATGCAAGGAAAAATAATTCTAATGGGAGCAATGTGTGTATCTAGAGACTAGTTTTCTTTTTTAATCACGTTTGCATCTTTGTTCAACCGAGATTTTTGTTATGTTCCAAGATGGCCAATGCTGAAGGTTTTTTTTTTTTTTTTGAGACGACATTGTATAATATTGTAAATATGCATATATATGTTAAACTTATAATTTTTTTATTTGGGAAAAGTTCAAACATATGAAAAAAATTATAGTGAGCCCTATGTACCTATTACATAGCTTTAGCTGGGATCAACTCATTGTCAATATTATTTCAATACTCTTTCATCTCTCCCCTTTATTTTGAAGCAAATCCCTGCATATGTACATAGTATATTGTTAGAGGTGCACACATTCACAATAAAATGTGCTGCCCTAACTCAAAAATAATGATGTGAACAAAGTGTTAAGAGCCCAAGAAGACTGATTAATTCTGCCTTGAGGAAGAAGCAAATTCAGAAAAGCCTTTGAAGAAGAAATGACATTTGACCTATACCTTGAAGGATGGATAGGAATTTGCCAGTTGGAGAATGGAAGAAAGCACATTCCAAGCATTGGAGCACTATGAAGAGAAGGGAGCAAGTTTGAATCCATGAATGAGTGGAAAGCAGAGAATAATGTATTTGAATGTTGAGGTGCTTTGAAGGAAGTTGCGGACGATGAAGCTGGAAGGATAGTCTGGTTATATTTTACAGGAGACTGTGGAAAATTAGTGATTATAGTTTATACAGAAATATTTTTCTACATCTTTATAAACTGCTTTTTCCATATTTTGTAGATTTATGACAAAGTCCAGTTTTCAACAATGCTGGAATCAAATGATTACTTGCTTTCCTTGGATAATTTGTTTTTTGAAAAACCAGATGAAGTTGAAAAGTAAGTCTCCCTTAAAGATTGATAACACAGTGTATTACTTTAGGGTTTTTTGAATTTGGGTGAGTTTTAGTTTTCTCTCTGGTAAATATACAAATAAAAATGAGGAATCCACAGAATGATATTTCAGTTACATATTTGGGAAACATGGAATTCTCTTACCAGTAAGAGGGGAGTAACTGAAGTTTAACATCTTAAATGTTATAATTTTAAAAATAGAATAGATTTGGGCCAGGCGTAGTGGCTCACGCCTGTAATCCCAGCACTTTGGGAGGCTGAGGCGGGTGGATCACCTGAAGTCAGGAGTTCAAGACCAACCTAGCCAACATAGTGAAAGCCTCTCTCTACTAAAAGTACAAAAAAATTAGCTGGGCTTGATGGTGCATGCCTCTAATCCCAGTTACTTGGGAGGCTGAGGCATGAGAATCGCTTGAAGCCTGAGGCGGAGGTTGCAGTGAGCCAAGATGGCACCACTGCACTCTAGCCTGAGCAACAGAGTGAAACTCTGTCTGAAAAAAAACACAAAGAAAGAAAGAATAGATTCTTGCCTATTTGGCTTGCATTTCTTTGCATATCTGGTTTGTTCATATTATTTTTGGCCAAGCTAAAAATGGGAAATAATGATCAAAGAGTAGCTCAGGACAAGGAATGACATCACCATTTGGAAACAATGAACAGTATTCCAAAGGCAAAGTATGATAGGCACATTAAGTGCTGGCAGGAAGTAGGGATGGGAATAAAGATGTGAGACCAAAGAAAACAAGACTAGAGAGTAGGTAGTATGTTAAATACTGACTTTCATGGATTTTCATGTGCATTGTTCAATTTTGAGTTTTCTATGTATTTTTAGTGTATTATCCTATTTTAATGAGGTGTATTTATTGCCTCATTTATTATTTTACTTGTTCATTCGAATATTGATTGGAAGTTGAAAGGGTTATAAAAAGGATGAAACAGACTTTTACTTACAAAATACTTAAAATCTAGTTGAGATTAAACACACAAATGGAAAGGCATTAATAAGTAATATGACCATGTAAATAACCATCTATACTGGGACACTTTTGAGAGTGAAAGAGCACATCCAACTGGGGCAACATGTGTTAATCAGGACTGGCCAATGCAAATTTTGTAACATGGTTGTTTTTCTGAAAATATAGTCAAAAATATGTGCGAAGCAAATGAGAAGCATATGTTCATGCAGCGAAATTTCAGACTTGGAAGGAAGGTTGTCATGCTCTACACAGTCAGGTCAGGCTTTTTGGGTAGTAGGGGGAGACTTCAGGAGGCTTTGAAGGATTTGATAATTTCTATAGGAAGAGAAGAAGTAGGCATTTGAAGGCAGAGTGGTAGAGCAAGAGAAAAAGGATGGAGATGGGACAATTCATGGTACTTTTAAGGATAACGTGTAGAGAATTTTCCTTGAGTAGATGATTCATGAAGTGGAAACATTGGGACATAAAGTTAGAAATTCTAAGTTGAGGTTAGATGGTGATGTGTGTTAAATGCTGGAATAAAGATTTTGGATAGAATTCACTGTGGGTTAAAAACCTTGGAATTAACAAATATTTATTGAAATTATGTAAAGGACTTTGCTAAGTATGCTAATATAAATGGACATAAAAATAAAACTCTTAGGTGTTTATAATCTAGAGGGAGTATCAAATATGTATCTGTCAAATCTATTCATCTATTCTGTCTATTATCTATTGGTACATTCACACAGCTCAAGGCAGACTATGATACATACTATAGTTTCCCTCTATAAGAAGAAGGGAGGAGAAAATCTTTGGGAACCTAGGGAGATTTCTTGGAAAAGGTAGGATTTGAGCCAGCCTTTGAATATAAGCTCTAGTGCCTAGAACAATACATGGTACATAGTACTCAGTAAATAATTACTGAATGGATTAATGAATGAATAAAACGGTGGATTTCTGTAGGTAGATATCAGAGTGGGGCAAGGCAGAGGGGAAAGCTGAGTAAATATCTTTGAATGCAGGTGAGGAGTGACCAGGCACGGTGGCTTACACCTGTAATCCCAGCACTTTGGGAGGTTGAGGTGGGCAGATCACTTGAGTCCAGGAGTTTGAGACTATCCTAGCCAACATGGTGAAACGCCGTCTCTGCTAAAAATACAAAAAGTAGCCAGACATGGTGGTATATGCCTGTAATCCCAGCTACTGGGGAGGCTGAGGCATGAGAATCACTTGAACCCAGGAGGTGGAGGTTGCAGTGATCTGAGATCTCGCCACTGCACTCCAACCTGGGTGGCAGAGTGAGACTTGTCTCAGGAGGAAAAAAAAAGATGAGGAGAGACAGAATGCATTATCTATTTGTTATACATCAGGGAGTTCAGTTTAGTTTGGACTATAAGGTATGTGTAGGAGAGTTAAAACTGTAAGGTGGTCTAAGGCCACTAGGAAGTTTGGCAATCTTTCAAAGCCACTGAAGGATTTTGAATGGAGTAATGTAATGAAAACAATTCCAAATGAATGTGGTAGGAACCTGTAAAATTAATTAGAGAGAAAGCCTGGAGGCAGTGAGGGCAGTTAAGACAAGTTAATAAGAGCCTTGATTATGATAATGACCATGGAAACACAAAGGAAATGATGAATTTAAGAAGCATTACAAGGAATATACAGTAAGACTTAGTATGTATCTAGATCTACTTAGTAAAAAAGATACTGTGGTTTGGATTCTGGGTAACTGGGATGATAATGTCACCTCTGGAAAAAAGATCGAGAAATTATAAGGAAGATTTGATTTTATTAAGAGGCAGAATAGTAGAGCTATTATTCCTCTTTTTTGGATTTTCTGAAATAGTCCTTGTGTGGAAAAGAGTTAACATAGCAGCCTAAACTGCTGTTCTTGAAAAGTCCTGCTTGCAAGGTTGGCTTTGGCTAGAGTCTGAGAACTTAGATTTCAGGAAGATCCCCTCCATTAGCTGACAACAGAGGCTTACTGTGTGTAAACTGTTTATACAAATAATATGGTTTATGTGAACACCCGCTTTTTTTCTGTGATTCTGGAATTTAGGTGTGTGCCAGACAGGGGATGCTTATGCTAATGTTAGTTAGCCCCCAATAAAAACCGGGGCATTGAGTCCCTGAAGAGCTTCCCTTCTTTGGCAACATTTCATGGGTATTGTCCTAAGTCATTACTGAGATAATTAAGTGCCTCTCACAGTCTGCTGGGAGAAGACTCTTAAAAGCTCATGCCTGGTTTTCCTTGAACTTTGTCCTGGTAGCCATGAGTAGGACTGTATGCTGAGTCTTATGAGTCATTTTAGGGAATTATTGAACTGGGGGTGATCTTGGGCACCCTCTGACATAGTCCTAAATTTTAAAAGATCTAGCCTGTTATTAAACAGTCTGTCAGACGTTGCCAGATAATGCGTTGTAGATTTTTTACTTGGAAAATATGGTCGGAGTAGCTATGTGCTAGGTGCTCTGAGAGACAGAAAAGTAAAAGACTGAGTCTCTCACTTTAGAGAGCGTAACATCCTAAATGACTAGATCATAAAATCTTTGGGACTTAGTATAGACAAAATATATGATGCTCTTCTCAACTTTATTTCCTGTCACCCAACACTTATCTTTTTGTCCTAATGAAGAACAAGTCAACTTTGATGGGAAAGGAACCATTAAAGCAGTATCAGTTAACACGATCACAGTTGAAAGACAAGGAGGGGTAGTTAATGATGCCAACAGGGTGGCAAAAATTTCAATTACTATAGGTTATAAAGAGATTGTCAATTTCAAATGATTTCTTGGCTTTTTCTGTAGTTTGTAGATGGTTCTGGACTAAGAATATTTAGGTTAGGACATTAAGTTGTAATAATGTTATAGGAATACTCTAGAACAATGGTCCCCAACCTTTTTGGTACCATGGACTGAATTTGCAGACAGTTTTTCCACAGATGGTTTC